TACCATTAGGCCTATTATCAATCTCATTTATTATTTGTTGGTCAGTATCAAATAAATTTGAAAAATAATCTATCCAATCACTATCAGGTATGTCGTTATTTTGGATTTTTCTTTTTCTAAATAAATTCCAAAAATGTTTTCCATTATCAACTTTTAATGAATTTATGACTTTTTCAGTTAAAGATTTAGAGTATTTAGTCTTTTTAATCTGAATCAACCTTTTGTATTCCTTTTTATTTCCTTTATATGTAGCTAAGTTTTTGTTGGATCTATCATTTCTGAAAATGTTTAAAGCTTTATAAACTTCTTTTCTTTTATTTCTACATTCTTTGTCAAACCAATCACTGGATGACTCATATGATTTTTTATTTTTTCTTATTTTTGCAAAATCAATAAATAAGCTAATGAATTTAGACTCAATTATGTTAATATCTTCATTATTTTGCAGTAATACTTCAATATCATTTAATATATTATTTATCTTGATTTCATTTTCATTTGATATATAACCTTCGTAATCAAAGTAATAACTTGGTGTTTGCTGTTTGGAGTTACCCCTTTTTTTAACATGTGTCTGGTCTATTTTACTAAAATTGATATCAAAAATTAAGGGAAAGTGATCTGATTCTATTCGGTTACCTATTTTAAAACTACTTATTTTATTGAAGAAAGAAGTAGATGTAATCAAATAGTCATTAACACTTTTGCCATTATAATTAATAAACGTAAATTCGCCCTTTTTGTCTCCCTCTTTCCTTCCATTAACTATGCACATTGATGGATGACATAATGGATAGGATATAAGGTCAGATACATATTTAATTGCTTTGGTGTGGAAATCGTCAATACCAGATTTGTTTGATTTGAATGAGTTAAGTATATTGATCACTTCAAGCTCATCTACTGGACTAAGGAATAATGAATTTGGAATGGGATTAGGTAGAAAATCTTGGAATGATGTATAATTCGGGGAATTTTATTAGCAAGGGAGGGTCCAATTTCAACAAAATGTTTATTGAATGCATTTGAAATATTGTATGGGTCACTTGTCATATCACCGTTACAGTTACAGTATTGGGATGTTCCATACTAGTTTTGTTGATCATGGAATTAATAGTCATCCATGTAGCCTTGGTATAATTTTTGTATTTAAGAAACGTATTTTGAGAGTGCATAGATTTAGAAGGTTTAATTATTGAATTCAGTTTATTTCAGAATTTTTTATAGGCTCTTTCATTATTGGTGGATGGGCAATTAAGGAATTTGGCAAATAAATTATTTTTGCGTCTAGTTGAAGTGAGGAGTCCATCCGACATCCATTTTATTTTATTTATTTATTTTTTTTTTGCTGATGAATGGTTTTGGAGGGGGATATCGTAAACGGATTTATGATTTTTCAAACTCGCGGTAAGCGTCATTGGGATCATGGGAACTAATTACATCAGCCAACTCTTGAAATGAACGTCGAAGCGAAATTATTTTAGTGTAGTAGGGTTTATTTTTCTAAATGTAGTTATTTCTGACTTGTTTGAACTATTTATAACGCTGGTAAAAGGTGTAATATTAAAAACGGGGAGATGATCCGAGATGTCACTATAGAATAATCCACTAATATTTTGTTAGTCAAGTTGATTTGTGATTATATTATCTAAGAGGGTAGCAGTAGTCTTTGATGCGAGATGGTCTGTGGATACCTGAAAGAAAATTATTACTAAAGATAGAATTTACAAAGTCTCGTGCATCGTTGTCAGTTTTGTATTTCAAAATATCTATATTTAAATCACCCACAATTTTGTTTTCTCTTGTTAATTCGGATAATAAAGAGCCAAGCCCCTCATTAAATTGAAGTGGGTTAAGGGAGGGTGGTCGATAGAAGGTTCCGATAATATTTTTGGAATGAGGTCTTGTTATTTCAATGAAAATTGATTCAGAAGTAGAGACTGGGAGATGGAGATCAT